CCAGGCATCAGCTTCCTGTGCCCTTCCGCCGCCGCCTGCACTTCCGTCCCGCTGTTTGTTCTCTTCAGGCATGGCCCATTCACTTTGCGATGAATTGAGACCTTGTTGTTGATGTTCTCTCACACATGCTCCCGAAGAGTCCAGCATTCTCACACCTTTGCGCTTCTCGTTGTTCAAATAATTCAATTGCTCGCTCCCAGTGCTAACACTCTCATCATAGTGAGCTCGGGTGCCTTCAGACAGCGAGGACATTGCTTTGCCCTCCATCATTGGGCATCCTCCACGATCGCCCTCCTCTCGATCGTCTAACCTGAGGCACGGGGAATCTGGTGCGTGGCGTCAGAGCCACGAATAGCAGTGATGCATGAAGGAGATACTCAGTCTTTGAAAGCTTCTTCCAAGCCAGTACATGCCATCAATCTACCAGCGCATAAGCAGGCGGCTTGACTGCTTCAGCATCCCCACTCGCCCCATCAATTAGTGGACTACTAATGAGAGGCTCAGAAAACACTTGGGTGGAGATGGATTTCAACCCCCCCCGCATTGCACAACCCACTCCATCAATTTGTAATGTTTCATCCCCTGACCCACCATGGCACAGTTTTTCTTTTTCTCTTTCTTTTTTTTTTTTTTTAATTCATTGACAAGGACAAGGATAACACCACAGAGAGCTGCCGCCCAAGGTCGAAGCAGCGATGCCTGACCATCTTCTTTTCCCTCCCCTTTCATTTTGGGAAAGCATACTCCAACTTTTGAAAATCTGCATCCTTTTTCTGAAAACTTTTTTTTTTTCTCTTCAGCCTCCCAGGGGGGAAGATGTCAGCAAGGGATGGATGATTAACTCACTCTGAGATACAGATCCACAAACTGCCATAACTTTTCTTCTGTGTCTCTGTCCCACTTGAACACTCTTCGTGGCCCATTCTCCCCACCAGCAGTTGGATCAACGCCCTCCGGCTCGAATGCATCCTGTAACGATGGAAGAGGCTCGCCTTGCACCTACAGTCATAGCCATTACATTCATTGAAATGACACACACAAAAAGATTTGCATCCAGAGAGCCGACTGAATCTATACATCCCATGCCGTGAAGTACACATAATACATACGCACAAACATCATACGTTCACATCCATAATACCTTCACATGTATGCATATACTTAACATGGATATGTACGTAAACCTGCCAAAAACAAAGTACTACAAACGTCCATCATACATAAATGCTTGCGTGCTCGGGAGATGCGTACCTACACACTGAAATGTGTGTGTAGTAGTGTGTACTACCCACAAACATAGGTATCACATACAGGTATGGAGTCCTATGGACATAATCTTCATCTTTCTTTTTCTCAACAAATTGGCCAACCACGTGGCGCTACCAGGAGTGCAGTCTATTCTTGAAGTACTCCGTCGAGTCAAATGCAAGGGGGCCAAAGGAGTGCCCTGAGGGCTGCGCCGCGGACGCTGCTGGGTCTTTGGGGCGTCTTCTTTCCGACATTTGCCAAGCAGAAAAAAAGGGGAGAGAAGGGGCAAAAGGAAAGAGAGTAGGTAACCAAACAACTACACCTATTACAGGTTCTGCTACGTATCGTAGGGAAGCGTACGGAAGACATATACATTTTACTGAAGGATGTGCTATATATCGTCCACACAACGCACACAAGAAAATTCAAACCACCAGCACCTTCCCCAGCCATTTTCCTCCACGGGGGAAGGGCCATGCACGCGCCCCGACTGCTGCTAACAAAAGAACCTTGCTGACGAGAAACTGTGCTGCTAACAAAAGAACCTTGCTGACGAGAAACTGTACAGTTTCCATCAGCTGACAGAATCTGATGTCATTTCATTGCAGAATGTACTATATATTATATAATATATATGTATAATATATATGTATACAGTACTATACACACACAAGAAAATTTAACGAAAGAAAATCCTGCTGAAGAAGAGTTCTGCAGTTCCACTAACTAGTAAAATTCGGAGTTTTATCGACTTTCAAACTTTCTCGCACCTACACTAAGGTCACTAAGTTTCAAAGATCAAAAGCACTTTTGAGACAAGTCCTTGGTATTTTGGCGTTCCCATGGGAAAGCGTGTACCCGTCTGGCACTTGCATGCATCATGTGTGCGCATTCAGGGTGGTCTGGTTTCTGGTCTCCTTAGGTGCACACATGATGCATGCAAGTGCCGGACGGGCTAGTGTATGGTGTACGGCTGATGGACGATGTGTCTGTCTTCTTCTCCTACAGAAAGCGGGAAGGGAGGTCTGTTGCGAAAGCATACAGGATCAGGCGGAAATGTGAAAGGTCTCTATCTCTGAAAAGGACGGATGATAGATCGGGCACCTGGGACTTCCTTGGATGTGCCTTCGAGGTACATGCTTCCTTCCCATTTTCGGTAAGTTTCCGGAAAAAGAACGATCAGGACACTATCTGGGCGGCCAGCAGTTTGGTTTTCCGCATGGGCCAAGATTTTCAGTCCCGGTCCTGCAGAAACATAAGCTGGTTGGCTCTACGAGTGTCTATCGTAGTGATCGAAATATGACGATTCGCGCCCGGATCACTGGACACTGTGGACAGGTAATGACCCTGAGAAGAGCATACCGGGCCAAGGGATTCCCGAATGGCTTCTTCGCGAAGGCGTTGGCGAATTTCGCGTGGAACCATGACGACCCTGTTTGGAGACTGACGGCGGGACTGCATTGCCACAACTTCAAATAGCTAGTATATATAATATATATTATATAGCAGTACTCTAGTCTAGAGTCTAGTCCTCATTCGACGTACCGCCAGGCGCTACCCTGGTTTTGCGAAAGTGGACGGTGCAAGTATCGGGATGAAGTGGGGTGGAGAGGACGAGCGGATTCTCGAGTTGTTGTTGTCACCTCTTGGATTGTATCTCTCTCAATAAGATTCATGAGGCTCTTTCCCAAATGAGAGGACTTCAATTGTGTGGGTCGTGTGTTTGTGTACTCGCACTTGACAAATGGTTCCAGTAAAATGATAGATTTATTTATTTTAATTATTTATTTATTATGAGATCCATCAAATAGGAAAAAGAACTGTAGCACTGAAGAGCAGGTGGAGCTAGTACGATCCTCCGGACTGCCTTTCAGGGAACAACAGTAATGATGGTGGCATGACTTCCGTCACATTCAAATTTTCAGTACATTTAATACGCTTTTCACATATGTCCTTCTCTCACATCGTTCTAGCGTTGTCCTTTTTTTTTATTTATTTATTGAACCACCACTACCTGCAGCATGCCTGTCACTGAAAAGGCTCCACGAAGTCTGGAGGCCCGTAACGCATCGACGCCGTCGATGGACTTCATCGACGGCGGGCCCAGCCTCCTGACACTTCATGTAGTAGGCTTCTGCTTGGAATTCGGAGGCCTCAGGCCTGCAGGTAGTGGTGATTTAATAACCATTATCTTCTTCCAACAGGACTTGACCTCATGAATTATCATTTATTTATGCTTTGACAATTACAGGAGGGTACGATGTCATCAACAGACCAGAAACTGACATTTCTTCTTCCGGGAAAAAGCCGAACTGAGGGCATATACTCGCACGGGGACTTTTCCTTCTCAGCTCGGGCTGTGATTGCGGTCGGATACATCAGGCCGGGGTCATAATTGGAGCCAACTACATCCAAAAAAGTGCTAGTGTGTGAGTACCCTCTGAGATTCTCATAATGCCAACAATGACGTGAGTCTGTATGGCTTTATACAGCAACACTTTCCGGCAGGGAGGGGAACACTTTGCGATTGACAGATTTAGGTGCCAAGGCAAAGCTGCCACCTCCTCCAGTGCCCTCCTTTTACCCCTTCCACCGCTACCACGCACCACCGAGAGAAAAAAGAAAAATGCGAAGAATCCGAACAAATGATAAAAAATCCAGAAGGGGTAATGTTTTCCGATGTCTACAAGCTTGATTTTTTTTCTTCACAAACCTCTTTCCCAAACATTTGCATGTGGACACCGAAAAGAGACCAGCAAATGAAAAAAGAGAGCAAAAAAAAAGAAATGCAAGCAAGCAAGCAACCTCTCGCTAATGCACCCACCCAATTGATATAACTCGGTAAATCCACCCACCTGCAGTTGTGCGACGCGCAACGCCACAGTTTGCTTCAGATCCTCCTTACTCATCTGAAGCTGCCCCTCTTTAGCTTGCTGTCTACTGAGCCCTAAAGCAACCATTTCCTTGAGATTTCTCTGCATTGAAAAGACGGAAGGAGAAAAAAAAACAAGATGTACCCCCAGACGAGCACCGAGCACCAACAACAACAAAACAGTCAGGAGCTCCACCCATCCTATTCTCACATGCATTTTGGAGAAATCAGAAACATACTGTACAGTTGTGATGTCGTCTTCTTTACTATTACTCTTTTCAGAACTTCTATTCTCTTCTGGTTCCCGAGGGGAGAGGTATTCCAAATTTCCGAGAGGCATTGAACCGTGGTCCTAACGAGGTTTCCAAGGTCCGCATCCAATAAACCATTTCGATAACGTGCGTACATGTGGTTTCTGGCGACAGTTCAGTTGTGTCTGTGTCCTGACGAGAACGCAAAAACCTCCAAGAGGCATTCCCAACCCTAACACTGTTCCATGGTCCCCACCCCATGGACCATGTCATCCTACCGTCTTCACCCGAATAGAACGCCTGGTCATTATAGCTGTATTTGGCACAACTTTCGGTCCAGATGCAGCAATAATGACCGGGCGTTCTATTCGGGTGAAGACGGTAGTACCCTACGCACAGGTCCATGGTTGGTCCATTCGATGGTTGGTCCACACAGGTCCATGGTTGGTCCACCGAATGGACCATGCCATTGAAAACATGCAGAGTTGCAAATATAATAAATATATGTGTTTTTTTTTTAATTTTCCCTGCTTGAAAACTCAGGTTTCTTCTAGTTCTGCAAGAGCAATTCGATCCAAGCAAAAGGTATTACTGACCCTAACCATGCTACACGGTGTCACGCGGACAACGGTCCATCGGACGGACAATTTCAATGCTCCGTGGTCCATCTAATGGACCATTCAAATGACCTGCAGACACGTGCAAAGTGCGGCTATCGCCTGGTTATGGGGTTCAAAAGAAAGGAGTTCCAAATACCGCCATAAGACAGTCCTGATCCTAATAAGATGATGCTATGGTCTGTCCGACGGACCATTTTAACGGTTTCCGGACGCGTGCCTTCTCGGCCGAACATCATTGCTCATCACCACTGCCATTGCCACACCAATTGTGCGGTTCACAAAACTTCACATGCTGAAATGAGAAAAGGACGAACATGGTCCGTATGTGATGTGACCGGGACGGCGAGCACTGGAGGGTGGGTGGCTACTGCGATCATGTCGAAAGAGAATGGATTGAGTGAAAAAAAAAAAGGTCTCAATTGAATACGAGCATGACCAGATCGCAAGTCAAATCACTTCATGAATATGTCAATTGCTACACAAACGCTTCCACTGCATCAGCGTCCGAGGCTATCACTTCACAATGCCCTCGTCTCCTCCTCCTCGTTCTATCGACCTTTCCTCGATCACTTGGCAGGGGCCATCCTGCTCTTGCCCGTGTTGTTTCAATTGTACCGGATGTCAGGATGACCTCCTACTCAAGAGGACACTTTCTTTTTCTATTTTTTGAAATTTTTAATAATTAATTTGGACCGTTTCTCAATATGCGTGTGTCCTCCTTGAGCAAGGACATTGCTAATCTTCTCTGGATCATTCATTCCTATTCTAACAGATGTCCTGAAAAGCATATTCAAGAGGACTTCCACCCATACCTACACGCGCTACATGTTATTGACGAACGGACGATTGCAATATGCCGTTTCAAGAAGGAATGCAGAAAGTCAACCACTTGAGAATTGCGCATTGTGCAATGATCATCGGTCAGGCTCATTTAAAAAAAGAGCAAGAGTTGTGTTCCAAACCTTCAGTGATGGGAGCTGGAGGCGATGGCCAAGGATTGCCATTAATTTGTCAATCACCTCAGATGAAATCTTTCCCTGCTTCGCCTGCTCACCCAAACAGAACGCGAGAAGGAGCAGTACAAATGTAAATGCAACAGTCAGCCCAACCTCAGACATGCACCAAGGGCGCGCGCGCGCGCAAGAGAGAGAGAGAGAGAGAGAGAGAGAGAGAGAGAGAGAGAGAGAGAGAGAGAGAGAGAGAGAGAGAGAGAGAGAGAGNGAGAGAGAGAGAGAGAGAGAGAGAGAGAGACGAGTTTGTGTGTGGGTCTGTGTGTGCATGTGCAAGAGAGAGAGATAGAGAGAGGGGGGGGGGGAGGCGGAAGAGGGAGGAAAACACTTCTTTTACAGCGATGCAGGAAATGAAACCAGGTCCAGGTTACAAACTCAATGTCTCACGGGTTCAAAGAGGTCCAGCTCCAGTCTAGCTGGAGAAGCCATCCCATGCACGATTCCAACCTCCTCAATGCAGATAGCAAGGTACATGCTCTGGGGATCTTCTGGTGGCTTTCACTGATCTGTTTTACATGCAGTGTGTACTTTGATAGTGCTTTGCGCAGAGGGGAGATGATGCCAGAATCTTTTCCACATTGCTATAATGATTCTATTGCCCTTAGTAAGCACAGAATTACAACACACACATTATGCATCACCCGCATTAAGAATTTGAGAAATTGCATGTTGCAGTCCAGTTGCTGGCAAAGTACCCTAAACCAAAGGACAACGCATGTCAGGGGACGACACTCCAAAGGAGATAACCAGACACATGATTTAGGACTCCATTGTCGGCTAGGGGCATACTCGGAGGACTTTTTCTACCAAGCTCTGGACGTTATTGCCGTCAGATTCATCCAAGTCTGGTCGCTATTGCAGTCAGATACATTTCGGAAAGTACTAGGAGAACTTCTTGCACACCTTTTAAAAGATTTCAACCACTGGTACCGGGTGCCCGTTTTTCTCCTGAACAAAGGATTTCCAATTGAGTAGGTATCAAACCAGCAGCAGGCAGACCGGTACGTCAGAAGCGCAGCCCCCCCCCCGTCTACAGCTGCACACGCTCCCCCCCATCTATGGCCGCACCCACTTTAGAGGACCCCACCTGAGTCGGGTGGTTTAATGATTTTATTAAGGTGGTGAATCAGGCATGAAGTGGCACACATAATTTATACACATATAAAACCCTTCGATCATTGCAGAGTTTTGCCAATCTGACCCTGATCAAAAAGCTTCAGCGTATTTGTGTCCCCCCCCCCCCCCCCCCCCCCCCCCCCCCCCCCCCCCCCCCCCCCTTTGACCCCGAGCATCAAACATCTGACAATCTACTGGTTCATATGCCCGTCCAATTTGATATTGCTGCAAGTGAAGGCTACAGAATCCATTACGCCCCTTGTAAGGAAAAAAAGTTCAAAAAAGTTTAAAAGTTAAAACAAAAAGAAAGGAAACAGCAGGAAAGGACAAAACGAGAATCTGACAGCGATGTAACGATTCCAACCATACGATAGAAAGTTGGTGGCAATATAAAATGACCTTAGAAGTTTGGAGGGAACCAATCAGTGTTCGATAGATCCAAGATAGTTCGACGTCTCATGTCATGTCATCGGGCAAAAAGGATAAGAACGAGAACCAACAAGATCCAACACATAATCGGGAGAAGGGGGCAGGTGTCGTTATCTCCCGCATACCCTTGCAGGTCACTGGAGTCCAAGACCCAGCCGGCCGTCTGTTCGCTGCACTATATAGTAATGCTGTAATCAGCTTTTCAAGCGCACGCCTGCCCTGCCCCCCAGCAGACCTCCCCATTTACGCGCGCATGCCCCACTGGTCCCTCGTGGCCATCCAGCAATGCGCCACACCAAGCTCTCCTCTTCCCAAACCCTCCGCACTCCGTTCCTGCAGTACCCTTTGCCACCAACCACCGTGAACAATCCAAGCCATGAACCACGGTGTGCAATGCAGATCCACCTCTCACCTGTTTAGACACACATCTACAGTCGTTGTCATCGTCTTTCTAACCATCTACCCTACGAGCAAATCTGATATAGATGTGACAAGATCTCCAGTGAATAAACATTGAACAATATCGAACATACACACAACTGCAAGAAGCCAACATGTGGATCTCCCGGCCGCATACCAATGTTTTCGGGTTGTTCCCGATCCATCAATTTGTTCAATGCGCTGCACAGTGCATGGCTATTGGCTTTTCCACCACCCCCCTGTCTTCTCTCTGTGTCCTTTCACACATGCAGCGACAAAAAGACACTAACGCTCTCTTCTCAACCCTCTGCATTTCATTACACATTCTCTTATTGCAGTGCCAATTAGCATCAACCACCTTGTACTTTGCGCGATGCCATCCCAGCAAAACGCAACATACACAACTGGGGACAAAACAGGAAAGGAAACAGGCAATCCCGCTACGAGAACATACCCATCAGAAAAGGAAAGATGGCAAGAGACAAAACGGAAAGAAGGCAAGTTAGAAAAGTACATATCATGGTCCCTTGCTTGGAACTCTATCATCCTCCTCACACACATATGGCTTCAGCAAATCAATTTTCTGATACCTTCTTCGTGTTGAATCTAGAAATAGATCACGCGAATGATGTGATAGCCTTAACAAGGTTTCACTTACTGCAAGTCGAGCAACCTTCGCGAGCTTCTCCTTTACACCAGGCGGAAGTCGTTTCTTGACTGCATGTTGCTGCTGTTGCTGCTGAGTCGAGGTCGGTAGGGTACCTTGCTCCTGTGCTTGGTCAGCGTCTGGCGGACACACTGAGTCCAGAAACCAGCACACACAGGAAATAAGAAACACAAACAATGTGACATAACCGCTTGGAGTTTCATTATTTATCATAGAAGAAAGCGAGTACACAAATGATCACATACATTATTATGCCAGGGCTAGGTCTTCCCTTCCACAGTTGCCAAAATAATGTAGGACGTGTCAGATCTTACAGATTGTAAGTGAGAGACAATCAGTCACTTTAGACATGCATCGCCTTGCACCTGGGGACCTCCCGCGATCACAACACGTCAATGTAGTTTACACCGGTTGCATCATGGTCCCGAGGTGTTGTATACTCTGCAGAGACCTGCATACACTCACCCGGGGCCTATGAGTGACCGCCGGCCCAGCAGTACTCAAAATCAGTCGTTCTCTCTCTCTCTCTCACACACACACACACACACACACACACTCACACACACACACACACACACACACACACACACACACACACATGCTCTGACGTGTACACACCAAGAGAAAGGAAATTCCTCTACATTCAGCTCTCTTTCCCCCTACTTTAGAAGATTGGATGAGCGGAGATTCATGCCATCCAAAGGTGAGGTCTCTCTCCCACTCTTCTGAAGAAAGCACAAAGACTATCCTAGAACTTGCCTGAAGGAAGATTGAACTCTCAACCCAACAACGCTGGACAGACAACAAATCTCGGCCAGGAATTTGGCTTGTAGGGCAGTCCTATGCCCTCAGTTCGGCCTAGGAGAAGTATACATGCTCAGCAGATTGTACAATTGGAAGCCAGCACCTTTTGCCTTCCACAAAGAATAGGACAGAGAAACATTGCCCCCCATGGAGGGTCTCCTTTCCTATCACTCGATCGGATTGTGCGCTAAACCCAGCTAGCTGTGCATCTGTGAATGCTTCCCAAGTCAGTCCAGTGGTGAACCTGTGAACGCCTGCTATGCTTGGCTTCTATAAAATCAACAATTTCTTTTTATCGTGCGTTTCTGAGTGAACAGGACCACATAGGCTGTTGAGATCCAGACATTGGCAGACAACACTTTCCAGGCACAAGGACGTAGAAGCATGGAACACAGGCCAAATGTTTTCCCCGAGGGTCAATTAGAGAAAGGCTTGTTGTTTGGGGTGTAGGTGCGCAGGGGTGAGGACGAGACGAGTTATTCAAACTCCTCTTTTTTTTTTTTTTTTGGGGGGGGGGGGGGGGGGGGGGGGGGGGGGGGGGGGGGGGGGGGGGGTTTTTTGGGGGTTTTTTTTTTTTTTTGGGGGGGGGGGGGGGGGGGGGGGGGGGGGGGGGGGGGGGGGGGGGGGAGGCAAGCTCTTTAGACGTGACTTTTTAATTTTAGTAACACCAGATCCCACCCACCTGCCTCCAAATTTCCTTGGACCCTTCCCCACCCCCCCAACCAGCCCCCGAAACCCCAATCCGTAGTTCCATAGACCCCTTAGAAGCTCAGAACTCGTTAATTAAACCACCAGTCCTTCACACCTCCCAATATACAGGGGTTCAACGGGGCAGCCCGTTAAGCGCCTGAAGGAGGCAGGCCACAGCCACGAAAGAAAAAGAAGTGTCGCTGACTTCCGTCTTCATCGCAATTTCTTTCGCTCGGGGAGTCAAACCCTTTGCAGACGACTTAGACAGGGCACGGGATTCTGTAAGCAGTAGAGAGGCCTTGTTGTCACGATCTGTCAAGATTCGGCTGTTTGTTCCAAAGGTTTCCCCCACCTTCTTGTTCCCCACCCCTCCTCAAATGTTTGAACTGTTGTCATCGGGGTGGGAAGACGGTCGACTCCCTGGTATAGGGGCCGATGAGCTCTTTGCTTCCTTTCTTTTTTTTTTTTTTTTTTTTTTTTTCCCCTTCCGTTTGCTGCTTACGTCTGAACTCCCTTTTGCCCAACATGGTATGCCACTTTCGGCTCCAAGGAGATCTGTGACCGAGGCCATATTCAGGTGGTGGGTGCCACATTGTCAATTTTTGGCCACCGTGGCACGCCGCTGCCCGATCGTAATACATGCGCCATCTCTGCTGACGTCCACGATCAAAACCTAGCCCCCGACACGACGAGTTTCAGCAAATCCAGGGTCGGGCAAACAACAGCTTCCACAAAATAGGTTCGGGGACAGTGATGCTTTCAAGGGTACCCGTGATCCTGGACTTGACTTCCACTGCTGCACCAGGGCATTCAAACTGTGCCAATTGTCAACCCTATGGGGGGCTGAACAGAAGAAGTCTATACAGGGTCCCCCCATTACAGGCCCCGCTTCTGCCTCAGCGGCTACGCCAGACTGCCTAGAAACATGGCCTCGTGAAGTCATAATATTCTTCATTCTGGTCTTCTTGACACCACGCACAAAATTGTGCACAATAAGAAAATCCCAGTGGGATTTCATTCAAGTTTTTCATCTGTTTTTTTCTCACTTGTTCAGAGATTTGTACCTGAGTTGCACTTTGCTATACCGTTTGTCTTCCCTCCCCCCTTCCCCTCCCCGCGCCCCCGCCCCCCGGAGCCTGACCAGCTCCATAATTCATTCCCAGAGACCGGATCATCCCACCAGGTACAGTGCATGCCACAGCCAGCCTCACTGGTTTGCTGCTCCAGGTTCAGGTTGCCTGGTCCTGGTTTGACAGTGCCGTTGGAAGCCATTGAACAAGCAAGCAGAGGCTCCTTTGATTCTTTCCTTATCCCATTCTTCTGGCCACAAAGGAGGAGCGTCTGACCCGTTCTCGCCACCGAGAGGAGTTTTTGACCCAATCTGGCCACCAAGCATAGGCAAGCCCATCGAGTTCACCCTGTCATTACACAGCCGATGTACCAGCATAACATAGTAGTGATTCATCATCCATCAAGGTTTTCCTTCGCATGTACATGTACCGTGGCTTATCATCACTCACAATCTTATATCAAAGGGTTTATAGTGGTCTTTACAAAGTTTAGGGACATGCCTGCCTGATTTCGCACTGGCCTGTAGAGAGCTGTATAGTAGTAGAGATCTAGTTGTCATTTTCTCTGAGAATTAGAGACCCAGAATTGCAGACTTGGACTGGCAGATATCTATTTGTTCGACAAGGACAAATTTTAAATTCACACATTTCTCAGAACTGTTTTCCCATTATCAAGGAAACCTGTGTCCTCTCCACAGCGAAAATGCGTTGGCAAGTGCAAATGCACGTCCCTCACGCATCACACCGCTTTTTGAAGTTTTCAGACGTCCCTCACGCATCAGTGCTGATTTGCACACCATGATTACTTTCCGCTTTTTTTTTTTTTTTTTTTTTTTTTTTTTCAAGTCAACTACCTTTATATGTCCCAGACTCGTTTCCATGCCGCGTGCCTGTTCTGTAGTTAAGTGAATTGACTATTGACAAGACTATTGACAAGACTATCGACAAAACGACAAGACATTGACACTATTACAGTTGATCACTTGATATAGAACGAATCTTAACGATATCTATGGACTCCGTGTTGTGTCTATTGATTGGCCGGTCGGCCTTTCAATCCAACGATGACAAAATCGATGAACCAAACAGACCGACTGAAGTGTATTTCAAGGTATGAGCAGAATGGTGTGGTTGACGGTCAGTTGCGAAACGTGGAGCACCCACAGAGGTGATAAACCACCACTACCTCCATACAACCAGCATGTATGTCCATGGTTACCAGAAAGACCGGCCCCGGCTGAGTCCGCGACGCCACCACCCGCCTACATAAAGCGGGTGCCATTTGGAAACCAAGGATGCCGTCGGAGGTGGTAGTCGTACGTATGTACTCTGTATGTATACAACATATAGCTTGCCTCAGTCCTCTCGTGTGAAAAGGAGAGAACTCGGGACCAGTGATCCTTGGTATCTAGCAGCTACAATTGCTCGGTGATCACGAGCACTGGGGAACAATTGCGGCCACTGTTTCTTTTGTTTTGAGGGCATATTACCGCATGTATGCAAATATGAATGGGTCAAAGGAGGAATGAATATTGACATGAAGAAGACAAAGGAATGCAAGCTACACTGAGAGAGAGACATGATGCCAAAGCAAACAGACAGGGGTAAAGACTACATTACTGAAGAAGAAGTGAGCATTTACCAAAGCTAAGCCTGGAGGGACGGGCGGACAGAAAGGGATCAGTGGGGATGGTGTTAAAGTGAGTGAGAGAGAGAGAGAGAGGGGGGG